GAACAATTACCTGCGGAACAAATAGACATTTCAACAGCAGAATTATGGAATAAGATAGTCGAACTGATAACTAATAGTAATGATAAGTTGGTGAGTCAATTTTCACTTATAAGACAAGAAATTAATATAATTCAAAATGAAATTAAAGAATTTAAAGATCAAATTCAACAAATAAGGATAAGAAATGATAAAATAGAAAATGAATTTACCAAACTAAGACTAGAAAATGAATTAACTCAATATAAACTGGATACTATGACTAACACTATGAATAATAATAAAATTATAATTTATGATTATACAAATCAGCTTAAAAATATTACTAAAAATGAATTAGCAACATTTTTTTCTAATACTTTAAAAATAATTTGCAACGAATCAGAAAATATAGTAAATATATATTCAATACCTAATTCAAATATTCAAATTAAGTGCATAATATTAAAATCAAACCAACTAAGAAATAGAATCCTTGCAGCATTTAATAAATCGAAATATAATAAGACACTGGAAAATTGGCAAGAAATTAATATGTCAACTGATTTAAATAAAGATTCGCACAAAAGAAGAAAAAAACTTTTACAATATTATATAGATTTTAAGAAACAAGGATTACAACTAAAACTGCGTGAGGACTATCTGATAATAAATCGTCAAAAAATTACATATAGTTATATCCAAGATCAATTAGTATACACTGATGATTTTTTGAAGTATTCTTACAGAAAAACCTAATAACATAATTAATTAAGAGTTAGAATGTGAAAAGGATCAACATATTAAAATTTTAAATAATCTTGACAGTTCTGGTTTGTGATATATGAATTAAGTCTTAATCCAGAAAATAAAAATTTAAGATTACTTTCAACTACTATATAACACTGATATTTTGGGTATAACTGAATCCTGGCTAGTCACACCAGTTAATGAAATTTTAAAAAATAGAATGGAATATACAATTATATCTCCTGACACACAGAAACCAATAGGACCTGGGAGACCACTGGAAGACTTTGTCTAATAGTAAGAAAAAACATTGGTTCATAAAATTTATACAAAAAGCAATTAATTATATTCTAATCTTATTACAAATTGATAATACTGTAATGAAACATTTATACAAAATGTTAATTATTATGGTGTTAGTTTACGTTCAGCCTGACCAGATAGACTTACTAAATGAAATATTCAGAAATCTCGAAAAATGGAAAAATATCTCTCCATATGTATTATTATTAGATGATTTTAACTCCAGAGACCATTCTTTGAACAGTTTACTAAGAGATTGTGAAGGACTAAAGGAATATCATCAAAAAATATGAAATTAAAAAACTAATATGTAAGAGGCAAAATCAAGACTTTGGAACTAAATTTAAACGGCCTTATGTTAAATCAAATGTATTAATGGTTTTTTAATTAAATCGTCAAAGAACTAAAAAATATGTAATAAATTAATAAAACTAAAATTGATTTTTATTGACTATGTTACTTAAAGTAAAATATTTAAAAGATGAATAATGACAGAATTTACTATTAAACGGTTATTATAATAATATTGATGATTTTGAAGATGACATATATTAAACGATTGATTAACAAATTGTATTAAACGATTGATTAGCAAATGTATATTAATATATAATTGGAAAAATACCCCCTGTAACAAGGCTTAGCCTTAATACAAATAAAAATATTTGATTGACTGGTTGATTAAAATGTTACTAATAATTATAATTTGTAATTAGTTGTGTAGAATAATGATATGGATTTCGATGTAAAATGCCCTTAAGAGAAAAAATGGAAATTGTCAAAGACATTATAAATTAGATAACATAACAAATTTATAGTACAAGTACTGTGAAAAGGATGATGAAACATGTGGAGTATCTTAAGGTATTATAAAATGTCTTTTTATGTCTTGTAAACATTTTCTACTCGAGTTGTTTTTGTGTAAATTCAATATGAATTTTGTTTAGTAGCACTGAAGAGGGGCTAGAAAATTAAACTTGCCCGAAATGCATATGTAAACAATAAAGGAGTTTTATAACCTGTAGAGCTGTGAGAAAGTCTACCGAAAATTTGTTTGGATTGAAGAGACATTTACCTATTTAACATATAATACAGCTACCATTAGAAAATTCATCAATTAAATTCATATATTTGAAGAATATCTAANCAATAAAGGAGTTTTATAACCTGTAGAGCTGTGAGAAAGTCTACCGAAAATTTGTTTGGATTGAAGAGACATTTACCTATTTAACATATAATACAGCTACCATTAGAAAATTCATCAATTAAATTCATATATTTGAAGAATATCTAAATAATTTCAAAAATGTGAATAAATTTGGATTCAATTTTTCTTCTGGAATAAATGTCTGAAAATTTCATTAGTTTTGATGAATTAAAAATTCTTGTTCACTAAACATTTTCTTTACAATGTTTATTTAAATAAACAAATGTTTTTGAGTTTGAAAACAAGACTAATAGATGCATTTTCAAGATCTAAAATTTCCATGAACATTGAATTCTGAATACTACAGTAAGAAACTTTTTCTACACACTATTATTTTACAAAAATAATATTTCCAAATTAAATTTTTTTAAAATGTTAAGAATGTAAAAAAAAACACCAACACTGAATTACTATCTAAGACAATGTTAAAAGTCCCTCAAAATTATAATAGATAAATAAATAAATATTTGTAAATTAATTTGATTTGAAATTAAATTGATTTTGTAAATAAATATTTAACTTACTTCCATTTCTGCCAATAATGAAATTAACATGAGGCCCAAATTTAAAATCAAGATTATCATGGCACATAAAATTTTTCACAGATACAGATTCTATGATTCCAACTTCAGCTTCATCCTGTAAAAAATCTATTGAATCAGCACAATGTAAAGAAAAGGGGTTGTCTTTCAGTGTTAAAATAAATTTAATTTCATACTAACTAACAAAATTTACACTAGTACTTTTGACAATGTATAACTGTTGTCTCAAGATAAGTCATTCAAATAAAGAACAAAAGATTTGAATGTTTAGAAAATTTGAAAAATATAATATTTAAGATTGAAAAGTTAACACAAAAATTTCTGAAAGTTTTGAACCAAATTATCATTAAAAATTATAATTAAAACTAAAAAAGTTAACTTACAAAAATTACAAAATTTTAGTATGTTTAAATTTAAAATGTAACTATTAAATACCTACTGTGAAGTGAGGGTGTAAAAACACTAGAAATGGTTCCTTAAATACTATAACTGGTTTTTACTGTCCTAAAAAGTAATACCTTTATTCTTGGTAACTCAAGTTTGGGCTGATTACACATATAATTGGTAAAAGACTTTCCAAATAAAATGTTTATATCCATATATTGACAGAATAGAACAACTTCTGACAACAGGAACTCACAGCCGTGTTCCAGGACCCTAAGTTAGCTAACTCAGTAATGCATCTATCATATAGGATGTCATCTTGGTGCTCCATTATTCTATTACCAAGCATTCTGAAGGTTGCACCTATGTAAGAAAACCTAGAAATACCTGAATCTTGCTTTAAGGCAATTTTATAGATCCCCAACCATTCTTGAATGGAATAATGGTTCCTACAGATGTATAGTACCTTCTATAATGTGGCTGCGGCTTAATGGGAAGAAAGTAGCCCTACTTTATGAAGAGATGGGTGAGGCATAATGTAATGTGCCCAAGATAAAAGAGTGATACCTATGTGCATACATTATCACATTTAACAGCCAAGGTAGAAACAAGGATTAAGGACTATAAAATTCTAGCTCTCATGTGATTGAATTTTCCTAATGTATAACCTGCATTCCTAACTGCAGTACTAACAATCTCCAATTCTTTGTCTACTAGTTGTTGTGATCAGTTTGGAGAGTATAAATAGGCCCTCCATATTAGGGCATTGATAGCCATGTTTACATATTGTAGAGGTTAAAAAAGTTATAGGAAATGACTATGGAAAACAAACTGTATTTATGATAAACTCCACAACTGAGGCCCATGGACTTTTAAGTATATGTAGATTTAAAAAGGGTGTACAGTTATTACTATCTTCTCTTTCAATGGCAAAGAATATGTAAAGAATAGAAAGATAAAAAGGAAGAATATGTAGAAGATTTTGTTAGTCTGGGAAATTCTCAGACTAACAAAATGTCATCCACATATTGTAAATACAGAATAAGATAATGTGTGATAAGGAGAACAAAGATCTCGAACTTTGTATCTATCATGAGAAACTCTCCTATGATAACTGATAATAGAGAACCCATGGAAACCTCCCTGTTTTTTTTAGTTAGCAATGGTTATAAAACTGAAAATTATTATTCTAGGTTACTAGGTGAAGTGCTTCCTGAAAGGTTAGGATCTGTTACACAGTAAAGTTAATCTTGAGGAACAGGGAATTATCAGACATAGTTACTTTAATTACTCTGCTGGGCCAGTTGACCTAGTTCCTTGCCTGTGTGCTGACTGATTTAAGCGATTTTACAGTATTTTCTATTAAAAATAAAAAATGATTGAGTAAAGCTAGGTAAAAAGTAAAAACAGTTTCTGATAATGGGAACATTTATCTGTACATTACTCAATTTTGATGTGTGTATGCTTTATTTTTATGTATTTTGCTTTAATGTTATTTGGACTTGTTTTAGATAAAGATACAACGAAAAAAATTAAAAACTGCAATATAGCTTTAAAATTTGTATTTTTATGTATGAAATATATAGTACATCGATGGATTTATTCATAATAATGATGTGCTGTATCAATATTATTAGTAGACTTTTTTCTGGCTGTTTTCTGTAATTGAGTCGGTTTGGCAAATGCACATGAGATGGCATTAGCACTATCAAAAATATAGGAATTTGACTTTTGTATTGATAATATCTAAAAAGTATATCAATTATGTAATATCATATCAACTATATAGGTTTAAAATAATAACAAAATTACGTGGCTTATTTATATTTTATCGATCTCAGTTAGGTCTAAATCATAATGGCAACATTTTTTCAGATAAATCAATATAATTTGAACTATATTTGTTGATTTTTTATTAATGAATTCAAACAATTATTAGTTAGTACGTTAATGCTCCATATCTAAGCTTTACTCATATATAAAAAATAAAATGACTTGATATTCGCTTGCAAAATATGGCGACGAAACTCCGAATTAGACGATGATCATGATTGTACAAAATCGGTTATATTTCAAATTTCTTAATAAATAGTGCCCACTATTTATTAACAGACACTCCTTCGCAAAAAACAAAAAATGTAATATTACATTTCTCGATATATCCTGTTATTCATTGCTGAAAATGTAATATTACATTTTAAAGCTAGAAATAACAAAATATATCGAAAAATCTAATATTAGATTTTTCATTTTTTGCAAAGGAGTTTCTAGCAGGGTAAGTGTTAAATGTTGGAACCAAAGAGTATAAAATAACTAATATCAATATTGTAGAAGCAGTACAAGGTAGAAGGTAAATTCTCAATCCCTTACTTATGCATGTTTTAGCCTCTCTGGTAGAAGTAACAACTAGAATCAGAAACTAATGTGGACAATAACCAAGCCAGCGCTTTTCCCAGAAGTATATGGATGTGTCTTTTTATTCATGAACAGCCCTAATGGCTAGTCTTGATTTTGTGTCTTTGCCACAAAGAAGAATCTTAGGCATACTATATTTTTAGTGGCTCAACTGTTCCCATCAATATAGATTTCAAACCCAGCTGTTTGATGAGTCTTTTTATTTTGTTTAATACCATTTGGAAAGGATCCCTAGTTAACAAAACCAATCCAGACTATTATAGGAAGAGATTTGCCCTTGTAAAGTACAAACTGTATTTTAAGTTTGAAATAGCTTTAAAATTTTACAGAGTATATTAATATTTGGAAATTATATTCTTGAAGTTCCTTAATAAATCAAAAAAAAAAAAAAAAAGTTAATTTAAAACTCAAAAAAGTATTATTTGTCTCTGTAAATAAAAATAATTGAAAAAATTTACTTACAATGAGTATTACACCAATATCCCCCATTGATTTTGATGAATTCTGGCACAAAGGTAGTGTTTGATATGATAATGCAGTCATCCAAACCATTTCATTCTATGGGCTATAACAAGCAAATTATCAAGGATATGCAAATGTATGGATGACTTTAAAAATTAGACATATCCATACATGTAGTCTGCTGTCATTGGCTAGTTTGCAGAGACATTGCCTGATCGTAAAAAATTTTTTAGCATTTAACTATGTTATGACTACATTATTTTCTTCTTTTCAGCAATGAATATTTACAAATAAACGTATCTGATACATTTTTCTGCTTGAGTTTGTTAAGAGCAGACAACATTTTTGATTTGGAAATATCGAACAGAAGAGAGCAATTTTTTTAAACCCACAAGTATTTTATAATGTTAGATAATAGATGAAATGTAGAAATTGAAAATATAATCATAGTCAAGCATATATATCTGTAAAAATAAAAAAATTGCATTAATTTGCATTATGTATCCAGCAGATACAATGCCCCAAATGAGCTCTTAAAACTCTACATGCTTAAAGGGGAGTTAACCAAAATCTATCAAACAGATTTTGGAAACGAACACAATTCTGTAAATCTCATAGAAAAAGCTTCACTAATGCTCTGCTTCAAATAGGGCTGGCAATATTGTTAGCAATATTTTCTTATGTTTACAAGATTGTGGGGGGCTTTGGGCCAAACGTGCAAGCAGAGATTGATAGTTATCCATCTTCTAATGTCACTATCACTTGTAGTATATCAGGTAAAATAAACAAATTGAATTATTTTTGGAAAGACTGCCAATACATCAGAAATTACTTTTAAAATCATAGTAGAAAACTGTACTTCTCTGATGCAGCCTCTTGATATCACCTTTCATCGGTAGTTAAAGTATCTTGCCAGACAAATTCTTACAGGACAGGCAATATTCCTCAATGCTGAAGGGGTACACAATGATGATTATTGGAACATACACAAAGGTGTTATCGAGTTGCAATCTCTCTTGCACTTTCAATTATCTGCTGAAATTTTTCAACCTATGATTTGTTATTCATAGTGTTCGTCTGGGCTTCTGATAGATAAAAATTCCTCAGCATCAAGAAAGTGTGCTTCACATTTACAGAGAACGACAATCTTATCTGTGATGCTATAGATTGTGATCAAAATAGATTTATAAAATGTGCCCACAGTCACAAGTGCTTATTTGTGCATCATTTAAGGATTGAAAGCTACAATTTTTTCTGCACAGCTTCTCCCTTTCCTGAGTAAAGTCATATATTGTACTGTACATACTGGATAAATAAATATGATAAAAAACACACCTTTAACAATCCAGCAAATAAAATTTACTAAAATAAAAATGTTTTCAATCATTTTTAACCAATCTTCCTCACTTACCATAAAATAGAATGCAAAAATAGAACATAAATTTAAATATAAATGAAAACAAGAATTCTGAAATAAATAAATAAATAACTGAAAATGTAGTTGCAGGCAATAAAATAAATAACAAATAAATGTTTCTTAATAAAATTAATCTTGATAAAAAGATTGCCATGCGGGTAGCCAATGTGTCTGCATCTCTATGGTTGATGCAGCCAGGTCTTCTATGTGCTTTAAAAATCTCTAATCTTTCAAGATAATTCATTGTGTGTATATTTGTTGTTGGTTTAATAACTGATATTTGCTCCGATCGAAAACATTTTTATTTTAGTAAATTTTATTTGCTGGAATGTTAAAGGTGTGTTTTTTACCTGAGTAAAGGATATTAATATTAATTAATGTAATTGCCAAAAATAATTACTATTGAGAACATGAAAAAGAAATTCAAACTGAAAAAAATAATCAAACAATACCATGCAAACAACCTTTTCACTTTCCAACAAAAATTTAATAATTGAATCTCTATGAAACTACTAAAATAAATAACCTCAACTAGACATAAATACTAATAAATCAACAAAAATAAAAGAAATAAAATAAAAACAAACATTTTCTTTTGTTTTAAATGTCATACTCAGGTTTGAAGAATGCAGATATACCCAATTACATTTTCTAAAAAATAGAACAAAAATTTAAAAGTTGTATAAGTGTGAAATATGTGCATGTCTAATGCAGCATTTAACAATGAACTTCAAACCAGATAATACTTTAAGTAAGCATTTAAAAAAAGAAAATTTTACAAAATATAAAATACATAACCTAATTCAAGATTTATGGAAGTCATAGAATGCCCTATACACAGCTGCAAGAGTCTATTTCCTTATAATTGACTGCTGTATCCCTTTTAAAGACCTTGAATATTTCTAATCATTTCAGATGTTTCAGGTTGCCCAGGTCATCACAATGGTATAATAAATGGACATTACCAAATTTAACTTGAATGTCTTTTATTATCGATGAATATAACTAGTGCAGTTGTGGAGAGACCCTTCTGAATAGTGTATTGATGCGCCTTAATCCTCATTTTCAGGCATTGAGCAGTGGCTTTAATATATTTGCATAGATAGTTCACTTTGTGATCATGTAGAGGGATAGTGTGACAATTGCTCATCATTTTTATATATAATATTAAATTGACAGACACAAAACCTTTTGTTTGTAAGTTTCTCGAATAGGCCTGGAGGGGCAATAAACCCAGCGAGAGAACAGGAGAGGTATATAAGGACTAAGGGTCGATGGAAGTGCTCTCTTTCCTGCTCGAAGCTATTGGAGAAGCAGACAAAAGCAATCAGCTACAATTGGAGATAACAGAAATGCTGGAAGCCAATGGACCAACCTGACAATTAGAAAATGACAGAGAATGTGCAACAAGTCTCCAAGGAACCTCTCCCATTTTAGTGTCTACCCTTCCCTGTATTTTTAATTGTATACCGACAGCAGAATAACCATGTAAATAATTTTGCAGATCAGAAAATATATAATTGTTGTGAAGACCGAACAAATTATTGTAATGGGTACGGAGAATACTGTATCGGATTTTATGTTAACTCAACTTCATGTTGAGGAAATAAAACTTACAATAGTACCCTTTGCTTGCTTCTCTTCCAATGAGTCCTTATTGTTTCTGATACTCAAAACAACCATAAATCTCCTGTAAGTAATCCTATTATTGATGTAGTGAGATATTTCCCTGTAGATGTTAGCTAGCACCTTATTATACATAATGATGAAATAGAACCGTCTTCTGATTGTAAGAGCTCCATGGGATGTTCTTGCAGTAAGTTCAACTGTGTGGAGGGCATTCTATAACCTCCCATAAGTTTTGAATTAAGTTATGTATTTTATACTTTGTAAAATTCTCTTTTTATAAATGGCTACTTAATGTATTATCTGGTTTGAAGCATGACATTAAACACTGGATTAGAAATGCTACATCATACTAAATTAATTAAACTTTATATGTTAAATGCTACATCATGAAATACATGCATAAGATATGGACATATTTCATGAGCTATAACTTTTAAGTTTCTGTTCTATTTTTTAAAAAATGCATTCATTTATTTAAATCTGCATTCTTCAAACCTGAAGATATCCATTTAAAATGGAAGAAAACATTTGTTTTCATTTTATTTCTTTTTATTTTTATTTATTGTACATAATTGATCTTGACATTTTTTGAATATTGAAATATATACTCGTTACTAATTCTTGTTATAATCATTGTTGTTTATATATAAATAATACTGTTCAATCTAATAAATATTATTGTGAATTTTCTTACTTATAAAAGTGTTATTTTGAATCATTATATTTTACTTCCCATGAAGTCCAGGCCTGGTACTTGATTTGAACCCTAACTTGTTTAACCCTGCTTTTTGTGTCATGCAGTACGTTACACTCTATACTAGTTAGTTACTATCTATTCCACAAAATGAAAACTAGCAATACTGTATCAGTGTGAATTTTCCACTAGAAATGTGACACACATTCTTAAGGGCCCTATAACTGAAAAAATAAAGCAATTTTATCATTGCAATTGTATATAATAATTTATGAATGCAGAAGTAATATAATTTATAATTAATAATATAATAATTTATGAATTCTATAGGTACAATTAGATGTTATTAGTTTATTATATCTTAAAATTATGCCTGGAAGATCTTAATCCATCATTAACTTATTCTTAACATTTTCAACAAATTACATTTGTTGCTTATTTGAGAACTCACTTCTTCGAAACTCATTTGATTCTTAAAAGTATTGCTTCAGCACCTGGTTAATTCCAACAAAGACCCTATGTTTGTATGATCCTTTGTCATGATCTTTGTTCCTCTGACAAGGTTCAAAATCACTCTTGGTATAGAGTTTTTTACACACTGAGATAACTGGAGGCTTTATTTATTTTGCTACAAGTAAAATAGTTAATCAAAAATTATCACCTTTTTACATATTCCAGCAAATAATTTAATATCATAAAAACATTTTCGATCGTCTTTAGCGATCTTCATCAGTTAAAAAGAACGTTAAAAAATAGAACAAAAATTAAATTTACAAAAAAATAATAACTGCGCATGCGTAATGATGAGCGCTTAACGGAATGAATACAAAAAATTAGGGATATAAGACTAAAAGTAAATAAATAAATAAAAATAAAGAGCTCAACAGTTTCTCATTAAAAATTAATGTTTCGTAAAAATTACAGATTATCTTCATAGAATGATTTCCATGCAGTGGATAGAGAGTAGGCATCCTTATGATTGATACAAGTAGTTTTTCTGCGCAGTTATTATTTTTTCGTAAATTTAATTTTTGTTCTATTTTTTAATGTTCTTTTTAATTGATGAAGATCGTTAAAGACGATTGAAAACGTTTTTACAATATTAAATTATTTGCTGGGATATGTAAAAAGGTGATAATTTTTTATTAACTCTTTCTAGTTCCAGTACAAGTTAATATTTTTACAAGTGAAATCTTAATTTTCTGCTTTGTCCAAGTTAAGTTACACTCTTCATATCCAAAAATCACTTCCATTTCCACATTGAACAGGTTTTCAGATTACACTAGAATTAATCACTTCATTCAAAAGAAGCTTTTCCATTTTAGACAGGTTTTACTGTATATAATATCAGAAAATAAAATTTAATTTATAAAACAAATTAATATATTTAAATCATCTGATAAAAAATTTTAACTTATTTTCTAATGTACAGGGTGTTTCACAATGTTTTGACGAATTCAAAGTTGAGTAACTTGAGTTAAAACCGAGATACAGCAACGATGGAACCCTCTATTAGTAGTGCAGACTGTCAACCTTCATCTCATATAGGTTACTATGCAGTATCATGGCCTACTGGTCAAAGCAACATCATGCTTTTGCAGTAGAGTGCTACTTTCGTGTCAGCGAATCTGTCATGCGTGTGCAATGTGAATTTCATAAACATTTTATGATTCAGCCACGATATCCAATTCCTGCTTGTGGGACAATATTGAATTGGGTAAAAAACTTTTGTGAAACTGCTAGTGCATCGAATCTAAAGTCAACCAGCCATAGAAAGACTGCACGAACCCCCAATAACATCAAACGTGTGCATAGCAGAATGGCCACCTCACTCGCTTGATTTAACCCTGCCAAACTTTTACCTATGGGGTTATTTGAAGACGAGAGTGTACTCTAATCGACAAAGAAGCTCAACTGGAACAATTAAGAGATCAAATTTGAGATGAAGTTTCCAAAATTCCTCCAGCAGTCACGAAAAATGTGTTCAAAAGCTAGGTGAAACGCCTAGAGTCTTGTGTAGCTGCAAATGGTCATCATTTGTACAATGTAGTATTTCATAAGTAAAATTGAATAAATTTTGTACCTTGTGTAAAATTTTCAACTTTTTTTAGCAATTAGTTTGTGAGTTATTCAACTTTGAAATCATCAAAACATTGTGAAACACCCTGTACATTAACAAAATAATTTTAGTAAATCATCAGTAATGACACTGTCAATACTGTAAATGAATGAAATTTTGAACAAAGTTTATTTTAAAAATAACAAAATTACCTTTTCTGGATCATTTTGGCTTTTGGTCAATTGAGATTCAAACACTTTGGTCTTTTTTGAAGTGTTTGCAGTTTTTGATGTTTTTTTCTTTTGTGACATTTTCTTTCATTGAATATTAATTTTCATGTAAACTGAAAACAAAACATACATGGATTAAAAAAATTAGAATAAAATTTTATTAAATTCAGCTTTGGGTATTAATGAATTTAAAATAAGACATGCAATCTGTAAATCTTATTTATGTAAAAATAAGACTTATAGATTATATGCTAATCTGTATGTTATACTACTAGTCAAAACATAAATGAATTTGAGATCCATTAATATTGACATCATCAAGATGACTAAAATACAGATGATTGTGTTTATTAAGAGATTTAGACAGACAGGTTATACTAGACTCTTCTAACACACTTTCTCAGTAAGATACAACTGATCCAGTTATATCTTACTGAGTAAGATACAACTGATCCAGTTATATCTTACTGAGAAAATGTGTTAGAAGAGTCTAGCATAATCTGTCTGTCTAAAGCTCCTAATAAACACAATCATCTGTATATGAAAACTATGCCTATGCCTGAAGGTCTTCCAGAAAACATAAATAAGTGTATTATTTAAGAACTGAAGAACACGTTGATGGCTAATTTTTAGAAAGTATTAATATTAGAAATGGGCAAATACTTGAATACTTTCTAGTAGTGAAATATAAAGTCAATAAAGAAGAAATATAAACATTTCTAAGCCCAATAATTATATTAAAGTTAAATGATTATTGAAGTAGATTGAGATATGTTACTGCTACTAATAATATTACATGCTAAGTAATTTGGCCTAGAGGAAGGTGTTAGATGCTGTATCTTATTAAATTTAACAAGCAATTATTTATTTTGACATTGTCACAATGCTAGGCTGCAATTTGTAATCATATTTTTAATTTTAAAATACAGTAGAACCTCGATTATCCGGACTAATTGGGGATGAAGGTAGTCCGGATAAGGAAAAATCTGGATAATCGAAACAAATACTTTAATTTGTCTTTTAATGATAATACAACACGTTTTCTTTTCGATGACATATCGGTAATATTAAAAGTAAATACTGTATTTAAATCGTGATCAAATTTTCAAGAAACAAACGTTCGTATTGAATTTGGACTACTACTGACCAACGCTAACAGACTACCTATTGTTTAAAAGGCCCTCTGGTGGTGCAAGAAGGCGGATTTTATAAAATAAAAAGCAGTTGAAACTGCATTTTTATGAATAAAAATTTGACAAACTATTTATCGTTTTATGACGAATAAAATTTTTTCTTTGCGTTCGCGGCTTTTAAGTAATGCATAAACCTTCGAAACGTGAGGCATAGGCGGTGGCCCACGTTGCCCGTGCCTTATGCCGCCCTTGGTCATAGAAATGATGTAATTTGAAAATAAAATTATTTATAAATACGTATGTCAAGTTATATTTTTATTACGATGCAAAATATATTTAAGAGTTTATGGTCACTGTGCTGGGTGAGACGTTGTTGAAACAAAAAAGTTATGCATTCCATCACATACATAAACAGTATCGTAATTCGCCAAGTGCAAATCAGCAAATTCGTAAAATTTTTGTTTATTTTGAACAATCCGGATAATCGAAAATCCAGATAATAGAGATCCGGATAATCGAGGTTCTACTGTATATGCTTTCTACCTTAAATTAGTAGTGGCTTGCCCCTGTAAATCATACTTTTCTGTAGGAGTTGTGCCAATCAATCATCTATCTAACTCATTTCAGAAAAAAATTTTTGAATTGAGATAATGTGACTTTTTGGTTTGCATTGAAAGTTCATATATAATTAATTGGAGCTTCCTGTTCCTAAGCTTTCCATATCTGGTCTTGAATTTCATTTGTCTAACACTGTTCTCGAGATTAAGGAAAGACAGATGGACAACAGTGGAAATTTATAGATCTACAATTTTTTCAAATTGCAGCCCAATAATTAAAATTAATATTTATTAATTAATTTAGGAGGTCCAGATAATGTAACTGGCAATGCATCCACAAGTAAGTGGCAGTTGAAGGTTCAAGTTTCACTCCAGGTTGATTCTTTTCTTCCAGAACTTTCTAAATTAATTAATAAAAATTAATTTAATAAGAAATGGTGCCTAACAACTATGTCTAGGCCAAAATACTTAGCATTTAATTATTAATAGAAGCAGTAATATAGTCTGATCTAATCCAGCAATTGTTTGGCTTTAACAAAGAGGAAATTCAAATAGTTTAACCTGCTTATAACGTCATCCATGGGACTGGCAATTTTTTCACGTTATAACCGAGTGTCGTTATCTGCGGGGTCATAATTTCAGTCCCATAAAATATCAAGTCTGTTTAAGAATCTATTATAAAATTCATCTAATTTAATATCGTATGTATAAAAGTGCAAACTAAACATTTAAATCAACTTTATTTACATTATTATGTCTAAATTTACAACGATGTAATTAAAAATTTCAAAAATTATTTTTTATAAAAAATTTTTATTTGTCAAGTTTCGATAATGGCGGCACTTTCAGATTTGAGAATAATGTCAAATCGAAAGGCAACAAAAAGTTAAATTAAGCAAGAAATGAGAAAATTATCATCCAGGTGTTATTAACGCCTGGATGATAATTTTCTCGTTTCTTGCTTATCTATCAATAGACATGAAGTCCAATATCTTTCACTTTTAGGTTAAATTAATGTATATCAATTAAAAAGAAACAATAAAAATATTCACTTAAAAAAAGTCAGTTATTTTAGATTGTAGGCATTTTTACCTAAAAATTGTTTATCAATGTCATTTTCTAAGTCGTAGATTTTGTTCATTATTTCCGATGAAGTTTTACTAGACCTGTAGAATTTGCTAAACCAAAGTCTCTGCATACATCTGCCTTTTTTCTTCCACTTTCAACTGCTTTAATTATTTCTACTTTGCAGTCTAATGTTAACGCTTTCCTTTTTAAGCTAGCCATTTTACCTGATTTGATGCTAAACTACAACACGAGTATGAGAGCTATGCAGACTAACCCACTGTCACGTCGTTTAAAGGGGTGGCGCATCTCACCCCATTGAATCAGGTGGTGACAGTACCACCCACAATCGTTCTAGGAAGCGGACTCTGACCCTAGGACTGAACACGTAGTATTTTCTTTGATAAATAAAATTTATAATTTAATTTTGTAAATTTAAGAGTGCTTCAAATATGACGTTAAAACAGGGTTTTATGTCGTTACAAGTGGGTTTTTTAACATTATCTAGTATAGTAAAATCGTGGGACCGATAAAAATTTGACGTTATATTAGGGTTGTCGTTACATCCGATGTCGTTATAATCGGGTTAAACTGTACTTCAAATATCTCCAATATCATACAGACAGACAGTATTCTTTAGCATCCCTAGTTTTATTTGCAACAAAAAAAGCAGACTAGATCCTGAAAGTGCTTGAATGCATGTTTTCTTAAATAAAAATCTGCAGTATGAGAATGAGAACAATTATTAATCTATTATAGTTGAGATACATATACCCAAAGAAAGCTACTGTAAAACTCAAAGCAAAATAAATGTTGAGATTTCAAAAACCTAAAGAGAGAAATGTGACACAATTACAATATTACATTATAACAGCTGGAAAAGTAAAATGAAATGCTATACTATAAACATTTACTTGTCAAATTCATGTTCTGACCCCTCAACATTAGAACCTGCAGCCTGTCTCCCACATTACTAAGTTTAAATAATTTGAAGCACACTTTACAATAGGTTAATACATTAGAATCTGTTTTAACAGATTGCAGAACAATAGACTTCTCAGAACAACAAACTTTTTTCCTTGGGTCCCACCAAATCAATGTAATTTTACCTCCTTTTAACACATCCATTACTCAAAATAACAGATTTTTCCTACTCAAATCTATTGTAAATTTCACTCTTTTTTTTCAATGCTCAGTTAATACTTGAGTGCTTCTGGAAATCTGTAGCGTTTGATGATGCACTTGTTATATTTAAGATGTGTACAATTGAAGAATTGTACAGAGAGTCAGCCGGCCAATATGATTGAGGAGGAGTCACCTAGTGAACACTGTCACTGGTCCAAGTGTAGTGCCAAAATTTAGCGAGGCCATTGAGTATTTCCAAGTTGTGAAGACCTTCCCAACGAGTTTAAGCATAAACAAACAGGCTGTAACATACATAACATTGCTAATATCAAGTAGTATTATATTCAACTGACAGAAAAGTGACATCAAAAGAAACCAAGATGAATGAGTTTTTTAACAAATCTTGAAGTCAAGCAAAGTGCTATTGAGCATATTTAATTTGCCTCTTTTTGCTCCTTTATGACTGTATATGATATAACATACACATACGTTACAAATATTAAAATTAATAAATTCTAAAAATTTTTTCGTTTAAAAAACTTCTAAGAACAACAAGTGATGTTCACTCTTTAATTCCGACTTCGATAGAGTTTAAAAAAACAGAGAAAACCAGAGAATTATTTTCACTCTCTCTTACTTTATTATGTTATCCATATATATTTCGCTATTTTAGCCTCTTCAGTGGATCATACGTTACAAGTTTAAGTGTTTCTATAGACTAAAGGAGAGAGATCTCAAGGGAATGAATAATTTCAAGTACAGTAAGACCTCACTTAATGCTGCTTCACTTAATGCTGATTCAATATAATGCAGTCTGCTTAATGCCTAAAAAAAACACTCAAAATTTATGCTGATTCAAATTAATGCAGTATTTCATTGATTCATACATAATACAGTACAATTATTCCCAAACACAAACCAATCAGCAAAAGGTGGCAATTCATCATAGTGCTGTACATTCCTTAAATCTATGTTTGTTTTGTGTAATTTTGGAAAAAATATATCATCATGGATGCAATAAGAAATAACAACTTGACTTAGCAAGAATTAACTGATAAATGCATGAACGAAGTGTGGAAGAAGTTATGGTTGAAGGTATCCAAGAATTCTCAACGAGAACAGCCTATCGCTATATCGTTATGTTGACCAAATTGTCAACTTAATCGATACAGACGATGTAATGTAGACGGGCAGGATATTGGGGAGTTACTGTAGGTTTCTGGTAAGAGCCTT